GCGCTTGTTGCTACTGTTCTTGTAATGATTGTAATATAGTAATTTTAATAATTTTTCGTAAGTACTGAAGTAGGTAAGTACTCCTCCTTGCCCGGGACAATGATCCGTCTTAAATGAATTATTATTTTTAAGACCATAACTCTTTTTATATTTCACCGAGGACGTTTTATTTTTTCTACCAGGTGTTTGCCTTTAGGGGGTATATGAATTTTTCGCGCTACTTCAACACAGTTACTATTTTTTATGATCTATAACAAATCGATATTTTTATTACGAAATGGATATTTCAGAAATTAAGTTTTGAGAAAAAATTAAATAAACGAGAATACGGATCGAAGGCCGCGCATTTTTACAAAAAAAAATAAAACAAAATAAAAAATAGAGCACACAAAGATACCAATGTGTAAGTGCGTAAATATATAGACATGTAATAGTGTAAAAATTAGGGGACACTTCAAACGTGTATATGGGTTCGCTCTTTTTAATACACATTTTCACTTTCGTGAAACGACACATCAATAGTTTCTTCTTTATCTTGAAGACTTACATTGATTTTTCCTTCAAATTCTTTATCACTGAGTTTAGATATCTTCCAAATGTTTCGTTTTATCCCGTGACTTTAAACAATGCGAAAGCAAAAAATGAACAAACACTCAATCGCTAAAACCATTCCTGCTGCAAAACGGACATTTCCATCTGCATTTTTTCCTCTTGAATGGTCTCTACTTCCATAATGGTTATATCCTGAGCTGCATACATTATTACAAGCTTGCCCCTCTGGTGTGCTGAACAGTTTACCTTGCCCCATGTGTGAAATTTTACTAATATGTTCATCTCTTGCTTCAATTTGATCATTTTTTTATTTCTTCCAATTTTTTATCAATATTGGTCATCAAGGATCGCAGTTTCTCAATGTGAGATTCTGAGAGTTGCAGCATATTATTAGAGTGTTCTATAACTTTTCTGGCATCATTCTGAATCTCGTTATTATCACTTTTTTCAGAGAGGGCAGCAAATACTTTTTCCATATTTTTTTTCTTTATTTTTACCTTCTTGAATGCGTTTTAAATTCTGGACAATTTATTTTTCGTTTCATCGTTATAATGTGTAACATTTTTTACAGCTTCTTTTATTTGTTCACTGCTTGTCAAGTCTGTTAAATTTTCTTTTTCACGTTCAATACTTTTATACACTACTTCGACATATTTCTCTACATTGTTATCTACTTTTATTCCATTAATAATAGCTTTAACAGATGCAAACTTATTTTCTATTTCTAGTAACTGCTCTGATTCTGGAATATTGATTGAAAAATTTCTCTTGACATTTTCTAATTTTTTGTAAATTTCCAGAGTCAAATTGTTTGTGTCGTCATTGCTATATGAACTCTCATTTTTTTTAACATATTCTAACAATTTTCTGTACTGCTCTTCTGAATTGAATGATACCTTCTTACTTGTTTCTATGTCGTTTTTTAGGTCATCTGGAACATGTTCATTTTCGTGAGCCAAAATTTCGGTCCTATCGTATCCACTTATATCGTTTAGTAATACCTCCTCCCGTTTATTAAATGTGAAAATTTTCCTCGATATATTTTTATTTTTTTATATTCCTTATTGTTCTCTTTTTCTAATTCACGAATTTCTTGTATACTTTTCATGGCAGTATTGTATAATTCGTTCGATTGTTTTAACGGATTCTAATGTAACCGTTTTATCAAGACTTACTAATTCTTTTTTTGTGTTTTTGAGTTTTCCCTTAGTATGCATGATTTTATTTCTATTATGTGCTAATTTTTTTATGGTGGGCCTCTAACACTTTGTTAAACATTTTGGCTATGTCCATATATTTATTGGTGCCTGTTTTGATTCCTTGCAACTTAATTAAGTTTATTTTTTCGTAAATTTGGTTTATACTAATTTGTTTGGGTTTTCGATTATTATAAAGCTATTTTAATCTGTCTGAGCTATTTTGTAAAGCACTTATGTCTACTTCTATGTTCGTTATGAACTCATCTTCCATATCTGCAATCATCCCCTCTGATGCTTCAACGGCTTGGGACATTTCAATGTGCAATCTGGTTGATTCCTGAACATTTGTTAAATCATGGTTATTATTTAACCTTTTAGTGTTGAAATATTCATTTAAAGTGGCACTATCGTTATAAATAGAATTGTACTTATTTATGAGGGAGGTTAAATATTGTTGAGCATTTTTCTTTATTCTATTGATTGCTAAGGACTCATTCGTTATTTTATTGGTGAGGCATTCTCTTACCGATGTGTATCTACGAGTTTCAATTTTTTGTTCTTTCTTTGATAATTCATCAAATGGGTAATTGATATATTCGAGATCTTCCTCTATGACTTCCATTTCGTCTTGAATTGCATCAACAGAAGGCTTTTATTTTTTTGTAGTTTCGGTATATTTTCCCTCATGGAGCTCTAATGTGCTCACTTTTGTTTCTAAATTATTGCAGTAGTTTTCCTTTCGCATTAAACTTTTCTTGGATTTCTTTCAACTTTAAGCCATCGACGGTGTTTTTCAATTCTTGATTAAATGAATCACATCGCTTCTTCAATTATTGAGAAACAGCTTCTTCTAAAATTCTATCGTAATTCTTATTGTCGCTTTTAATTTTGTTCAAACTCTGCAGCAGCGTAGCAGCGTTATCAATTTCGATTGTAATGGCTATTTGTTTACTTTTTACATTGTTCAGTCTTCCTTTGAATTCATCCAATGCCATATTATTAAGATATGAACCATTTGCATTTTCGGATATTTTTCTGCTTTCTCTTTGTTTTTCGTCTATATCATGAGAGTATTTAAATATGGAAAGGACACTCTGGTAGGCGTCTTTCATATTTTTATAGAACAGTCCAATTTTGTTCGATTCCCTGATAATTTTAGAATTTTCAATTTTATTTCCCGTTCTGATTCAAATTTTAACTCTGGTGTCGTTGATTCACCTGCGTAGAGAAATCTGTTAGTTGTATTCCTGTTACTACGTTATGCCTATAAAAACTGCCGACTTCGTTATATACCTCAGCACCTTCTGTGCTTCCTTTTTATATATATAAAGTGTCACATTTTGCACTTGTCCACTTTTATCGTTTGGTTGTTTGATTACGTCCCCCACACTATTTTCATCCTTTAATTTTGCAATACGAGCAATGCATGTCTTAACTTCATCATACCCTTTGTCGGCTTGTGCATATTGCTGTTCAGACATTTTACTAATTTGGTTTAATTTTTCCTTCATGCGAAGTATAAATTCGAAAGATTCTTTTTTTTTGATATCACTCAAATAATAGGGTGTTTTATCAAGTGAGCTAAGAAGGAGATTACATAATAATGCGACATAGACACGGTTTCTCATTATGCAGAAAGAGATTCGTGGTTAGAATTATTGTTTCCCTTAAATTCACAATTGTGAACTAGCTTTATGTTTTTTTTTAATTCCTAGAACCGTCTTTTTTTTCTCTCTCTCTCCTTTAAATTAGCATTTTGGACAGCCATGCCCTCTTTGACTCCTACTTTTTGAACAGATAGAAAATCGTTTAATCTACTTTTCGTTAATAAAAAATATTTCATCGAAGAAGTGGCATGGAGAAGATAATGTTACATTTAAGAATACAAGAAAAAGGTTAAAAGAAAAAAAAAGAAGAAGGAAAATTGTGCGTTTTACTTATTTAAAAAGGCACAACGCGTATAATCTAAAAATGTATATTAAAAGTTTACGTATAATGAACAACAATTTGCACATGTAAAAAGTAGAATAGCTACCACTGGATAAATTGAATATTGTTATGGAAAATTTGCATGAATATAGTGGGAAATTCATTATGTAACATTATCCCACTTATTTCGATTGAGCTCTTACAAAAGTGATACATTGGTCATTTTTTGTTGCAATGATATTACAGTAGAGGCTCCCAAAAAAATAAAAAAAGTTTAATGATATTAATGTGGGGATTTTATTCCTGTAGAAATTTTTTACAATTGATGGAGTTCCAATTAATGATAATTTTGTTAAACAATTTACACTTGTTTGTCTTATTTTGACAATGAATTTTATAAAACGTAATGTTATATATATAAACTTTTCTTTTTTTTTTTCTTTTTTTTACACGTAAGAAAAAAAAATTTATAATGTAATTTTGTCACAAAATTGGATAAACTTAAAATTAATGATGGTGGAATAAAGCAGTTGTAATCCTTAATTGTCCTAAATAATTTCACAATAACAATTTTAATGAAATCTGTGCAAATTTATAGGTTAATATATTTTTTTCTTTTTTCTTTTTTTTTTTTTATAATCTTCTATATTTTTTAGCTATGTAGGATTATTTAAGTTTTAATGTAAAATTGCAGATTTTACACCTTTTTAATTTCTCAGATTTAATCTTAGAGAATTCGCTTCTGTCCAGCAGTGCGAAGAGAGTGGAGTACTCGATAAAAAAAAAAAAAAAGAGAAGGTATAATAAAAGATGTTACGTGAAGATATAATATTATTGAATTTTTTTAAATATGTATTTTTTGAATTACATGTATATTTGTATACAATACTATACATTACTTTTTTTTTTTTATTCCAATGTTACAATCAGTTTTTTAATATAAAAAAAGAAACATGAAGATTATCCGTACATGTTTATATCGAAAGTCTCAGTAATGCGTATAAGCCAAAATATTACATGGCCTTCTTTTACGTTACATTTTAGTTAATTCTGTTATATTACTTCGCATAGTTTGACTGAGTTTTCCTCATCGCATTGTTTCCCCTGCTTTTCTTTTTATTTCCAAATATAAAATTCTATTTAGCCCATAAAAACTTACCTCTATTGTAAGGGCTATTATATTAATGAGTAATTTATAGGGCGCATAGCGCAACATCTTGATTTCTTTTTCAAATTTGTGAGTTAAAAAACCATTTTTTGGCCAACATAACAATTTCCCTTCAGCACAAATGTAAAGGTAGAGTTCACCTATTATGATAATTTATTAATCACATAACAATTTGAAGAGGGTTAATTTTTTTAATAAGAAAAAAAAAATATTATTTTTCGCAAATTGATAAAATATTAAAAAAAGAGAGATACGTTAAGAAAAGGCTTAACCATGCGTATAGATTGGGTTTTAATACACACTCATCTGTGATGGCGTAAAGCATGTAGCATAAGATATTTGTCTGTGTATATATAATGTACATATATATGTAGCTGATTTTTTTCCGATATTTTACTTTTTCTTTAAAGTTAAATTATCACAGAAGTAATCTGGAAAAGAACCGGATGATAGTAGATATTAGCAGTTTAATGCGGCAATGTCTCCTATGTGTCATGAGTTTCACCAAACGATGTTTAATGCTATTAATAGTCCTATTGAATCTTTTCCTAAGGGCTATAATATGTTTAAAAAAATCATACTTCTTTTGTTTATATTTGCTAGCACAATCTTCGCTTTCTTGTATAAATTTATGAATATTTGTTAAGAGTACTTCATCCTCCAGATAGGAATCTAAATAGTTTCTAAGGCGTTTCTCCTCTTCATCGAATTCTTCGTGCTCGTCTATCTCCTCGTCAAAGTATATGGTCTCTTCGTCAGGGTCTTCAATCGCTGGATCGGGGTGTTTTTTCGTTGCTGCGTTATATTCTAGGGCTTCAACGGGTTCTTCTAACACTCTCGCAGGTTTTTTTGTCACTACGTTAGGAGTGTTTATGCCCGTACCAGGGTCTTCTATCCCTTTTTCAAAAAATCGGCGATTTTCATCTGAGGAATTTTTTTTGGCACTTCCAATGTTTGAAATTAAGTTGTGAAGTGGTTGTGATGTCCTTCTATCCCCCTTTGATTTAAATGCTCCTAAATCTCTTCTGAAATATGTTTCTTCATTAAATGTTGGATAATCATCACGCATATGATATGATTTTGAATATTCTTTAATTTTAGAGAACTTATTAATATGGACCGCACCTTGTTCTACTAGTGCGCGAGATTTAACACTGGGTTCGTTCCCTTGGTTGCATTGGGTGTTGCGTGGATGGCAAAGAGTGCCCTAAGAGAATGTTGACATAAAGCATTTATTTCGGTGCTATTAAAAAATATGCACGTGAGTATATATGTACATATATTAATCTATTCTAAATTAATTCTAAGAATTTTGACGATAAGGAGAAAACTCAAATTGGGATACAATATTCCCAAGATATTACATGGCTGGAGTAGTATATGGAGCAAATAAAAATGGCGTAGATACTAATTTTAACAAAAAGGATGAATGTACTTATTCTGATATTCAATGGATGCTTTCTTGGAGTTCCTGTATGTTCATGGTCAGTAGGCAAACTTTTCTCTACCTGCTGATGAGTGTCTTCCATCCAGTTTTCTTACTCTTACTATATTATAATTCTTGTTCATGGTTATATTATGTCCATTTTGTCTAAATGAATACATTTTTACATAGTATTTTCAATATAGGACATAAAAAAATGGGAATTTTTAAGCTATTATTATAAAAAAAGGAGATATTAAAGAATATATGTGATCTCGAAATTTTCTTAAAACATTATGTCATTTCTACGCATTCAATTGAAAAAAAATAAAGAGTGGAAATAATAGCGTTTAAGATAAATTAACTTAAAAGCACGTATAAAGACACGGAACTGGAAAAAGGTTAAATAAAGCAAAAACAAAAACAGAAACAAAAAAAAAAGGTACATATATGTAATTAATAACAGAATAGGAAAAAAATGAAAACTTTTTAATAATCAGAATAATTATTCTATGAAGAGCCAAACAAAATGTACTATTGATTTTATCCCATTCGTAAAATATTTAACTGTTCTGATATCTACTTAAACTTGTATTTAAGAAAACATTTCTGTACATAAATAGTCAAGCACGATAAATAAAAAAAAATTAAAACAAATGCATTTCCTTCGGTATGTACTTTTTTCTATACATGAATATAATTATAATTAAAAATACTGAACGTACAGCATCGCTATCCATAATGCATACGTTAATTGAATATATCTTAGATATTAGGAAGCGCATACTTATATCTATTTCTTTTATGCCGTTATAAATACTCTTTTGCTATTTTTTTGTAATAATAATTCTTTAAAAGGAAAGATTTAATTTTTTCGTAAAAATGATTTATTCCGTTGGTTTTGCTTGTTGCATGGAATCATTTTAAGGAAGGAAGCGTTATAATTAAAATTATATATCTTTAAAAATGGTGTTCCTGTTTTTTTTTTTTTTTTTTTAACATATAAAAATACAGGTTATGAAGAGATGCTATGTGTTCAAGGAGAAAAAAGCATAATAATTACTTTAATAAGCGCTTATAATAGTTAGCAGTTATTGCTATATATTTGTGGGTGAAATAAAAATATTGCTTTCTACGCCTATGTTAGATGAGAAGTATTGCTATAGAATATATCGTATATTGTTCCATGTGGAAAAATTATAGAACATGTAATTATAAGACTTAGTTGGTTTAGTAATTTTGTGCTGTACGTTCTCTTTGCATTAGTTAATAACGCTTATTCGCTTTTATTATTTGACACATTTTCTAGAACATTAACAGTTTTATTCGAAATTCTAAAAAAGACCGATTCGTTATGAAGAAACACCTTAAGTAAGCAGGAATTTAAAATAATGTAATAAGTTAAATCTGTTGCTTTTGAATTATGTACTCAAATTACATGCATGTAGAATCTAAAAAAAAAGGGATTCGCAAATGCTTGTTATTTAAAGTCTTTTCCATATATAGACTTGTATACATTTTGAAAGGGGACGATATAAGCG